TGTTTCTGTGACTGAGCAGTTTAAAAACTCCACGTTTCTGACAAATCTGATGAAATGCCTGTGAAATCATTTATTAGAGGAGGGAACCAATTTTATTTTTTTAGCATTTAAATAAATAACCTGAAATTGGAACAAATGCAGGTGGACTGTAACTCGGCCAAAATAAAATAAAATAAAATAAAATAAATAAATAAATGAAGTGGGCACATTCCTTCCTGAATGTGAAACCTCAAAGGGCTCCGGGGTGCTCCCAGCCGCCAAACGGGGGGGACCCCGTCCAGCCCAGCCGAAGGGCGCTGCACCAGCGCTGCACATTCCCTTCCTCTCCTCCCCCACAGCCCAGGCAGGGGATTAACGAGCAGGTTTGGAAACCAGAGGAGCTTAGTGCCAAGGCTTGTGCCGGGTGCGTTTCCATGCAGGAGCTGGAGCAGTCGCTGGCAGACTGGGCCCACAACATGAAGGAGCTGCAGGCCATGAAGGTGGAGCTGGCTCACTGCATCCTCACCGAGGACATGATGGTGCTCAAGGAGCAAATTGAACATTTGCACAGGCAGTGGGAAGAGCTCTGCTTGCGAGTAAGTCTTCGCCTCCTCTCGGTGTTACAGCGGGGTATTCCCAGGGCCTGGCAGAAAAGGGGGAGCAGCTTAGCAGAGGGGATTTCTCTTGGGGTTGGCTCACTTTGCAGCCTTGGGTGGGGCTGGGGCTTCTCCTGCTGCAGCTGAGCAGGGCTGAAGTTTGCCCTTTGTTTCCTGGACGCAGACTGCTGAGGTTTTTTTTGCAAACCCTTTGTAACTAGTGAGTGCCCGAATTGCACAGAGCTGAAACGCAGCTGTTTACTGAAATAGGTGGCTTTGTTCTGGGCTGCCAAAGGGAGGGCGGGGGGGCGGTGGAGAGGATAAACACAGGAATTGCCTGAGGGCATGAAGCAGGGAAAGGAAGGGGGAGGTCTTTGCAATCTGATGTTAAAAAAAAAAATATGCCAGGAGAGTTGATAAAGAAAACTTAAATGTGTTTAAATACTGACTCCTTGGGTTTAAACACAGTACGAACTGACTTGTATTTTTCTGTAGCAGTAAAATACTGTGAAACATTGGCATTCTTTGTGGCTTGTTGCTATATTACACTTAATGTAGGGCTGCATGTAGAATTGCTGGGGAACATTTACCAGCAAAGTCACATGAACTTGATTCATTAGGTTATTATGCAGTTTGAATGTGTGTTTACTTTGCCCTGTTAACAAGATTGGAGGTAAAATACTTGGGGCCTTAAGTTACTCTGGATGGCTCTAAATGCCAGCAAGCCAACTCTTGCCTCTGTTTACTCACAAGTCAATATCATTATTTTACAGTTTGTAAAGAAGTGTTGAAGGGAGTTAGTATTTCGTGTCTAACTTTTACTCAGGCAAAGGTAAAGCAATCTTGGTGGGAACATTGCCAGAGTAATGAACAGCTATGGTTTCACAAACTTTGGTGTGATGAAATAGTTATTTGGGTTTATTTTTTGCGTTGCAACAAGAAGGAATTTAGTAGCTTTGCCTTAAACTGGATGGTTAATCTACAACCAGTGTTTTCTGTTATTGTTTCTGAACTCTGAAAATCGTTCCAGAGACACCCTCCCCGCTCCAGAGAAATATAAGCCATTATTTTTAAGCCTGAACCATTTTCTTAATGGAAATCTGTAGTTAAGCCTATAAATGAGAGAACTTTGCAGTTTTTCCTTTTTTGGTGAGCTGCTGATGCCTGCTGTTTCAACTGTAGTGAACAGCCCTGAAAATTAAGCTATCTTTTGTATGTACCCCACTACAGTATATCCAATTAGTAATTTCCTGTAGTAATTTAAGTTCAGATTTTAGGAAAACTTTGCATTTTAATTTCTTGAGGGAACAACGTTTAGTTCTAGCTTGAAGAGAAGAAAGGGGTGACATTAACGTGACACTGTTAAGCACACAAAAATGTGTAGTGGGAGGAATCTGCTCAGTGCTGCAGCAGAGGGACATAGTGAAATGTTTCCACAGCCCTAATGAGCCTCTGGAGAGCCTGCACTGGTGCTCAACGCTGGATGTGAGGGTAGGAAAGCAGACTTTATCGGTTCTGCTGCTAGGGTGACTGCTTTGTTTTGGCTGACAAATGAGAGGAGTCAAGATGTATTGTGTGAAGAAAAATCTGCAGTATAAACGTAGAGAGGTGAAAGCCTGTAAGAGCGAGACGCGGCTGCAGCTGTCACAGCCACAGGAGCGGGGCAGCCAAATGTCTGTGCCGGACGAGGCAGGGACACAAACACACTTAGTGAGCAGATGCACTCGAGGGATTAGCATTCACATAGCTGCCCTTGCAAGGTACGTAGACGTCAGAGATTTAACTGTTCATATCGGCGAGTATCCTGTCCTCCTGAACGCCAGCGTATGGGTTGGGCCTGGCCCTTGATACTCTTTTAGCTTCCCTTGGGAATGCTCAGATTGCTCCTGCATCCCACTGTGGATACAAAACAGGGCTGGTACTGGGCAGCTGGTCTGAGGAAGTGCTCAGAGCAGTGGCTCGAAGGGCACATGTTCTTCAAAGTTTGTCTGGGATTTTTTGGCTCATTCTTCTTTTACCCCCAATCTGTATTGCTTAGCCAGTGGAAAGGTGCTTCCTGCTATTAAAATCCTGCCTTGCCCTGTGCTTAGCAGGCAAAAATGGAGTCAGGATCATTTCAGGATTTAACGATGTTTTTGCTGACATGCATAGTCTCTTCTTCCAGTGACCAAGTTAACTCATCTCCAAACATGGGAAATGCTGCAAGTAAGTGTTAGAGGAAGGATGAGGGATTTACCTTTCATACCTCTTAGGCTGAGGGTATGAGGGAGGATCCCAGAGCAGAGGCCCTCCTAGGGAGACTTTCTGAGGTCCTTGGGGTCTCCAGGAGACTTCTTCCCAATGAGAACTTTGCAGATTGTTTCCCTGTGTCCCAAGACAGTGCTTTTGGCCTCATCTCTCTGCTTGGATCAGCATGAGAGATTTAGAAATCACTATCATCTCCCCATCCCCTCCTTAAAAAAAGTCAGAATTTAAAGGACAAAAGCAATATAGGGGGGAGATCACTTGGTGCCTCCTGTTTTGATCCTGGTGTTATGTAGAGCTGGTCTGGTTTCCACACTACACACTTAAAACTTCACTCTGAAGTACAAAACAGTGTTAAAGATCAATCTAGGAGAATCAGTAGTGGAATTCTGAGGAGTCATACGGTGTATATGGTGCATGTGAGATGTGAAGAGGGAATGTCTCCTGCCATGGGGTGATATTTAGAGTGGCCGTTTGCAGCCAAGCCAAGTAAAATGTTATGCTCAGTCTTTACACAACATTTATTGGTGAGGGTGAGGGGTTAGTTGTTTCTCTTGTTTTGGTTTAGTAGAACTTGTACCATTTTTTCACTTCCTTTGTCTCATATATCTTAGTACAGGAATCCAACAGAGTAGATAAATGAATACAAGTTTATATTTAAGACCCCCTAGGCTAGAAATAAGTGCCATTAGCTAATAGAAGAGTGACCCTGCTTCTTTCTGAGATGTTGGAGCAGGGATATTAGCTTTGCCGGTTCAGGCAGCATCAGACCTTGATTCCTCTGTCTAGACAATTTGTTTATCTGTGCTGGCAAATGTAATTTTGAGGACAAAAATCCATTGTTTTCAATGAAAAGGCTAGATTCTTGATGCTAATTTTTTTGGAAGTTCTCCAAGACCTAGTGGAGAAAAAAAAGAGGCAGGTTTTTATAGAGAGAAAATAATTGCAGTCATTAGTTGCAAAGTTTCTCTTAGAGTTGCAGAAAAATAAGAAGTTACCTAGGTGTTATTTCTCTTGTGTTATGTATGAGACCATACTAAGCAATATATAGTAATTATATATTTTATATTCCTTCTGTGGCATTTTCAAGTTTTCATTGAGAAATATTTGAATTGTTATGTAAACTCATTATCTATAAAGCTGTCACTTGGTTTAATTCTTCTGATGGAGAGAATCTGGCATTTGCTAGTCAACTTTTGGCTGTGCTATCCAAAATAAGATGTAATAACAATCTGCTTGCTGGCTTTCAAAAGAAAGCTAGAGATATTCGATAACTGCTCGTGCAAAATACGATCAAATGCAGACTGGAAATTAGAAGGCTCATAATTGCTGGTTTCCTTCCTGAGAAAGATGTTGCCAGCAGTTAATGTGTGTGCTTATCCATAGGTGTCTCTGCGTAAGCAGGAGATCGAGGACAGGCTCAATGCCTGGATTGTGTTCAATGAAAAGAATAAGGAGCTGTGCTCCTGGCTGGTACAAATGGAAAGCAAAGTATTGCAGACTGCAGATGTTACCATTGAAGACATGATAGACAAATTGCAGAAGGTAAGTAGTGACACCACTTTCCTTCAATTGCAGTCTGATAGCTCACTATAGACACCATTCCTCGTTTCTTTCTTGCCTCTTGGAAGCAGCACGTGATATAAAACCAGCACGTACAAACTTTTGTGAGAAGATGAGCTTTTCTAGCCTCAGCTCTTACCTTCTTCTTGATGTTCAGACTTGGAACATAATGCAAAACAGAAATGCCACCTGACTGTATTTAGGCATGGAGTGGGATGCATGTGAGTTGCAGTGGTGCAGGTCTGGGTTGTTGTGTGGGCACACAGGAACATACAGCACTGCTCAGAGCTTTCCCTGCTGGGGATAAGTGGTGGCCTGGGAGCGTCTCGCTGCTCTCACCACCTCCAGCCATGTCAGCAATTACAAAACTGGCAGTTAGAGGGCAAAGAAAAGATTGAAGGATGGGGTAGGTCTTATGCTAGGTGAACAAGAAGTTAGCACAACTAAAAGTAAAACCTAATTCTGCCCCTTCTCCTTGGTAGTCAGTGCAGTTAGTGCTTTCTAATACTTCATATTAGCTTGACGGGACCATTATTTTGCTGCGGTGTTCCTCCCCTTGGCTTGAAGGTCTTGATATCTAATACCACATCTCCTCTGGATAAGAATACCAGCAAAATAAAGCCATAGACTTGAATTTGGGTTCTTTTGAATTAACTTGATTTAAAAATTCCATTAAATCAGGAAAGTAGAGACAAAAGTAGAACATTAAACTGCTTTTTTTAGGAGTACTTCTGGTACTTGAAAGTCTTTAAGCTGCTTATTTTTTATAGTGACTTCATTGTGAGAATGCTTTCCCATTGAGAGTTTGGTTTGTTTTGTTTTACGTTTGCTAATGTAGAAACCTCAGCCATCACAAGCCAAACCTGACTTCACACACGTGGGAAAAGAAACAGATAATTTTGTTTTGCTTTGGTTTTGTTTTGTTTTGCCCAGGAATTAAGCAATGTTTGTATATATTTATCAGGATTGCATGGAAGAAATAAACCTGTTCAGTGAAAATAAGCTTCATTTGAAACAAATGGGTGACCAGCTAATCAAGGCTAGCAACAAGAGCCGGGTTGCAGAAATAGATGATAAACTCAACAAAATCAATGATCGCTGGCAGCATCTCTTTGATGTCATTGGAGCACGGTAAGAAAATGATTTTCAATGTTTTATATGAGGTAAAAGTCAGAAGCTAGTGTCCTTGACCATCAGAAACAGACTGACATGACTTTTCAGTTCTGTTGAAATTTACTATGGAGAGTCAAATTAAACTGAAGTTAGTGCTTTTTCGTTATGATTTGTTGCTGTAGTATGACACCAATGTCTTCATTTATCTAATGGTAGAGGGCAGGGTGTAAGCATTCACATAAAATACGATTTTAATCATGGGAGCTACATAAAAGGAAGAGTCAAAGTGATTTCCCTGTTGCATGTGCTGAATTGCAATTTAATTTTAAGGCAGTGTGGTAGGAGTTCGTTTGGGCTTTTTAGGAGAGCCTTCTGTTTTAAGACAAGCCTCTATTTCACCCTATGTCTGAATGCACAGAATTTGGGAACAGATTCCTAGCCTGTCTTTGTAGACAGTCAGATTTATATAATGGCAATGCTCCTTTTTTACATTCGAAAGTGTATGAAATTTCATTTAATATTAGTGATATTTCTTCACTCAGTCTCTTTCCTGAAAACAACTGGAAGACCATACCTTGAGTTTATTTTTTAAATTCAGGTTCTTCTGCATGATGGAAATGGAAAATACTATCAGTTGAAATTAACAAAACCTTGCATAGTCTAGACAATGATCTTTTTAAAGGGTTAAACATCTTTATTATGCTTGACAGAGTTAAGAACATCATGATCATTTTAGTATTAGCCTTACTGAGATGATCCCATTTCACTATTATTTTTCTTAGTTTCTACCACAGCTTGGGAGGAGGATGCTGGGCTGGGCTCACCACCTGCCCGAGTTTATTAGTAATCCAGAAATAATAAGGCTAACACCAAATTAGTATTGGTCTAAACTTCGCTCCCAAGGTTTAGTTTTGCCTGTAACCCCCCTCTCTGGGCCCTCAGAAGCTCTCTTGCTCAAGTTAACATTTGAGACAGATAAGGCAGGTGGTTGTGCTGTGACAATGTAGTGCTAAGTATGCTGGATCTTAATCAGGAATGAGACCTGAATTAATGGTGACACATGAGCTCTGAATGATTAAGCAGAAGCTGCCTTCGTAAGATCTGATGCTTTGCAGATAGCCTTGCAATGGTTGTCTCAAGGTGTATTTGTATTTGATCTGGTCTAGGAAAGAAAGCTTCACTTTCGTAACAGCACTTTTTCTGTTCTCATCTTACGGTAACATGGCACTTTTAAAGCACTTTTATGATCATTTGTGTCTGCTGTGTGTTAGTTTTGAATTGTAGCAATTTTTAAATGCAGTTTAAAATGCACTGTTTTAAAACTGAGGTAAACATGGCATATTTCTAGTAAATTTCTGGAAAATATGCTAAAGAACTGATGGGATATTTAGAGAGAGATCTGGCAGTCTTACTCAAGTAGTTCGTGACAACAGACCACTTGTTTGTCTACGTAGGATGTCTTAAATCTTTACCTTCAGGCAAGCATGTGGTGGTGCTTCGAGGTATGTTAATGTGGATTTGCCTAGAGCATCAGCTTAGCTCCCAGTATTGGATATCTAAGTGGATATTGCAGCTACTGAGGACTTGGTGTGATGCTTTATGATTGTTCCTGTGTTCTTAATCCCAAAAAGGTCTGGAACATGCCAGCTTCTACTTGTGATATCCACCACCTTTGTGCGCAGGACCAGGGTAATGAACCTGACAAAATGTGGTTTTATCAGCTGCCTCAATGGTCCAAGGTTATCAGGCAGCCCAGTGGGCTCTGCTGGTCCTCTTGGACTTAATACTAGCGGAGCTTCAGCATATTGCAGCATTTTGCAAGCATAGGTGTCACACATCTCCTCCCTCACCTAATCCTCCTTGCTTGGACTTGGCTTGCAGTTCAGCTGTTCTTGGCTGCTGGTCATAAATAACTACGAGGCTAGACACAATAGAATCTGAGTATGCTCCTAAGAGTTTATTTTGTCCTGTTTACAACCTTCCAGCTTTCTGTATTGAGATAGCTGCTATAGTGGTGGCTTGCCACTGAGATTTTACTTCTGAAGGAATTAAACTAGTCTTCGGTTGACTGAAATTTCTACCTCACTCACAGATATGCTTTGGGGCACTCAAGAGGAGGCTCCTCCTGTGCTTTTGGGTAGCCTCTCTTAAGCTCAGGTGATGGGGAGGAGGCAGCAGTTCTGCTAATCACAGATGTGCCACAAGTTGGGCCTCTTCATGGGGGAGTGGAACAGAGCAAGGGGCCTTGGGCTGGAGGCGAGATGATCTGTGAGCATGGGTCGTGATGCCCCATGCTGATAGACTGTCTTCTTCCTTCTCAGTTTGCTTTTACAAAAAGATTTAAAAAAAACCAAAAAAACAAACCAAAACGTGTTTAAGCTGTGTTGAAAGAGCACATAAAAATAGAGTGGTGGCACAATTTGTGTTGGCCCTGTTGCATGAAGCCATCACAGTCCAGACATCGTCAGAGGATCTCAGACATCCACCATCACCGGTTTCGTTCAAGGGATAGGATGGGTTGGCTCCAGGGAGGTTGGAGCCTGTAGGACATGGTGCTGGGGCTGTGCACTCACTGCTGCCCGGCAGAAAAGAGGCTGCAGCACTGTGCAGCCGCTGCCATGGCAGCATACCTGTATGAAGCCCTTTTTATTGGGCACTGCTTCATTTCTTGGGGAAGGTAAAAGGGATGGAGGAGATGCTTCAGGGCAGGACTGCCAGAGGGCCTTGGAGGGCTTGAGGCAATTGAGGTAGGAGAATGCAGCCTGGAGGGAAATGATTAATTTCAGCCGTGGCAGGGAGGCAATCTTGTCTTCCTCCTGAAAACAGTACTTGTAGGAACTTATTTTCATAGCATCCTCTGTGAAATGAAGAGGTGGTTTTGCTCCTGGCTTTTCAGATCAGTAGCAGGGGCAAGTAAATCGAAGTGAAAATTTTCTGATTTTTTGGGTGCCAAATCTGTGACTGCTTAAAGCTTTTTTTTATTGACAAGTGTTATGATTTCAGCACTTTCTGTTAAACATATAACCAGCTGCCACCTTTATTCGCACTTGTGGGTGCAGCACAGCCCACTGCACCACTTCCGTGGCCCCCAGTGACCATCCATCACAGGGACAAGGACCAAATCTCATGATGTCTTCATGGCAGGCCAAGACTTGTGCAGTAAGTAAACTACAGAGCCATGCACTGAGTAGGAGAAGAAAATGTACGATTCTCCATTCTGGGTGCTGAATCTTTTTAGTAGACAAAACGCTTTATGATCCTGTGGTTAAAGAGTATCCACCAAAGGATACTGACGGCGATTCAGAGCCAATTTGTAGTTTCTAATGTCTCCATGGATGACCCTACAACCTAAGTAACATTTTATCTTTTCTGTAGTGCAGTGTATGGCTGTGTGATACCAACATGAAACCAAACCAGTCTTGAGCCAGTGTATCAATACAGAGCATTCCTCCCGATAGCTTATTTCACCTTTTTAAACCAATAAACGTCCTGGGACAGATGGGCAAATTAGGTGAGCTCTCCATTATGTCCTTGAAGTGATTCTCCTAGTTCATGGTGACAAGCTCAGATTTGCCATATGGCTGCACTTGCAGGACTTAGTACTTTCATTATATGCCTGTGCTTGGCTTGTGTGGTGACAAAAGCTTTGCCACATGTGTTGCAGACAGAGGGTGGCTTGTTGCAAGCTTGGAAAAGTCTCAAAATGTTAATTCTCATGGGATAAAGTAACCATCAAGACATCAGCATGCCTGGAAAGGAGAACAAATTAATTTCTGTTCAACTCAGAAGATACTCTCACCAGGCCAGGTGCTCACCCTGAAGTCTCTCTTGGTAGAGAGTGAATACAACATGCTAAGAGGCAGAAAGGGAGCGTTGTGCTGACTGTAAAAATGGATATAGAAAATCTCTTTCTTTTGTTCTCTCATCACCAGCCTTGTAGCAGCACTCTTGTAACACCAGAAGAAACTGCTGCATGCTTGCACATGCACCCAAGTGAAGGCCTGAAACAATAGGAGGAGTGCACAGGCTGCATGTGAGTGGTAGATGGCCAAAAAGCTGTGGAGTGGGATTTACATCCTCTGCATGCTCTGGAGCAGCACTCCCTAGCCATGCATTAACTGGCAAGAATTGCCAAGGAACTGTGGTGTGCACCGCCATTTCACAGAATCACAGAATGGTAGGGGTTGGAAGGGACCTCTGAAGATCATCTGGTCCGACCTCCCTGCCAAGGCAGGATCACCTAGGGCAGGTTGCACAGGAACGCATCCAGTCGGGTTTTGAAGGTCTCCAGAGAAGGAGACTCCACAACCTCTCTGGGCAGCCTGTGCCAGTGCTCCGTCACCCTCACAATAAAGAAGTTTTTCCCCATGTAGAGGTAGAACTTCCTGTGCTGCAGTTTGTGCCCATTGCCCCTCGTCCTATCACTGGGCACTACTGAAAAGAGACTGACTCCATCCTCCTGACACCCACCCCTCAGATATTTATGGACGTTGATAAGGTCCCCGTTCAGCCTTCTCTTCTCCAGACTAAACAGCCCCAGGTCTCTCAGCCTTTCCTCATACGAGCGATGTTCCAGTCCCTTAATCATCCTCGTAGCCCTCCGTTGGACTCTCTCCAAAAGTTCTGTCTTTCTTGAACTGGGGATCCCAGAACTGGACACAATACTGCAGATGAGGCCTCACCAGTGCAGAGTAGAGGGGGAGAATAACCTCTCTCGACCTGCTGGTCACACTCTTCTTAATGCACCCCAAGATATCATTGAGACTCTTGGCCACCAGGGCACATGGCTGTCCCGTGGAGAACTTACTGTTCTTATTACCAGGACTCCAAGGTCCTTCTCCATGGAGCTGCTTTCTAGCAGGTCAGCCCCTAACCTGTACTGGTGCCTGGGGTTGTTCCTCCCCAGGTGCAGAACTCTACACTTGTCCTTGTTAAATTTCATGACGTTCCCCTCCGCCCAACTCTCCAGTCTGCCCAGATCCCATTGAATGGCAGCACAGCCTCCTGGTGTATCAGCC